GACGGAAGTCAAAAGCATCCTGATGGAGCCACTATGCTACCCCTGGAAGGATGGTAAGCAGATTGCCTGTGACTACACCTGCACTGCCTCAATGGCAAACACCTACTTGCCATATTTCGTAGATGAAGGTGGTAGAGCTGCCAGCCACAGGGAGACCCAGAAGACCTGCAAATATGAAGGCATTTCCCCTAGATATAACTTCATCCCAATGGGCTCGGAGACCCTTGGAGCGTGGGGCAAGTGTGCTCTAAGGTTCCTAAACGAGCTGGGTGAAAAACTCATCATAGAAACAAAGACCACAGGGCAGCCAGCTTCCTATCTCAGAGACTCAGTGTTGCAATCCAGAGGGGAAATACCTGCAGCATTCTGGGCACGTGGCCCACTGCTGGGGAGCCAGACAAAAATTCGAAAAGTAGCTCTGTGTTGCTATCTACGTTGATCTGCTCCATATTGTATTTTGTCACTGTATTTTGTCTTTAAATAAAGTATCCATGGAATAAAAAATATAGCGGGTTGTAGGAGAAAAAAATATTCAAACAGCTTCAGGAAGAACCTCGTGTTTTCCCCGAAGAAAGTTTATTCTTTTGTCCTAAGATGAGGGTCCCCAGCACAGTTTCAGAGATGGTACCTCCCTCAGTGACTCAGCAGGAATACATGACCCTAGCTACACTGGTACCATCACTGAATGGGAGACTCTTGCTGCTCCAGTACCAACATCTAGTGCAGCACTGGCCTAGAGTCAAGTTGCAAGGCCCCATCACTGAAAAGGTGCTTGCCAACATTGTTAGGGCTGTAACAACAGAGAAGGAAACTACCCATCTCCAAGCTGTGAGCGCACATCAATTTGGAGACTTCCTCCAAACAGTTCCCATTTCAGCAATGGGAGCACGCCTCGATCCTGAGACTCTGCCTTGGGCTCTCAGCCTCTCTGCCCCGGTTCACACGGAATATACATATATTTGCAGCGATGCACAAGCTGACAAATATGGTGTTACAAAACACGCGATATATAATAATGATAGAGATCTTCAGTGAATACTAGAAAGGACTGCCATTCTAGCATCCAGCCTGTTACTGGGTTTTTGTAACAAGTAGTCAGTACCCTGGTCCAATTATCCATTAGAATTTAGTAAGATTCAATAGTGCTTCAGAATTACAACTGGTAGGCTACTAACTAAATAAATTAAAATTTAATAAGTTTATTAATAATAAAGTTGTCTAGACGTATATTATGAAAGTAAATTAAAGTAATCAATTGAATATAATATAGGATACAAGTTCCTACACTTCTTCTGTGTACAGTAGTATTGTACTGAAGGCACATATCACATCTTTATGGCTTTTAAGTACCGTCTGGTACATTGTTAACATTTTATAACATAATACAACTATATACAAGTAAGTTTGCGTGTATGTGGGTAAGTGCTCTAAGTAGTTCGCTATGTTTAAAGACTCGACTAGGCTTAACCAGTGACTGACTAAAAGTCCTCACATAAATTATCTTCTTGACCAATCTGGAAACCAGAAGAGCTTGCTTGAACAATAAAACGACTGATAAGCCGAACAGCAATATAACAAGCAATAGCGACACAGAATCAGGAACAAGGAGATAATATAATGACACTAAGTAGGGACCATTTGCAGATCCTCCACAAAAGTCACAAAACTCCCATAATACTGAATCAAAGTTCAGCATAAGAGAATCCCCAACTGTGACAGTACACAGATACCAGTACAAATTAGGTTAGAAGCTACAGCTCAGGACCTGAGTTCCTCAGAGCGTCTATGTGACACACAACCTCAGTACAACGTCGAAAGAGTTACACAGAACCAACAACAAGAAAGCGACAGAGACGATCTTCCAACAAGGGCCCGCAATAGAGAGCTGGAGATGGACGTCTTGTTAGAAGAATGTCCAACAGACAAGAGCTAGTGCAGGCCAGGTAGGCTCTCTCCAGGCGAGGTGTGGTCATCCCACCCTGATCACGTGACTCTCCGTGGACTGCTGCTGCCCAGCAACACAGAAGCTGGCAGCAAAACAAGTGAAGTGAAAACTACTGTGAGGTACTTAACACTCGAACTATGAGCACTGAATAATATATGTTACATCCTACCTAATAATATAACTAAGTCAAATAATAATATAAAGCCATATATTTATGATTTAGCTAATATTGCAAATATAAGCAATGTAAAATTATATGAACAGGTAATATACATTATATACATTGTGACCCATTCAGGGGTCGCAATACCCTTCCCCCCCCAGCACGACAAACGGTTGCACTAGGAGTTGCATTAGTGTCGTTCACATTGTTTGTGATAACTCATGTCACTTTAATAAACAATTTAATATAAAAAAAATCAGTCATTCTTGTGCCAAGCACTTCTTACATTTTACAGTGTCTATTTCACTATAAGTTATGCCCCTCGTACTAGGGCAGTACACAGTATCGTATCTCCGCATACTCGTGGTTATGTACATCAGTGTAGAGACAGGATAACGTAGACAAGCATGACACGTTGAGGCTCGATCATAGTAGTGGAGACTGTATATTACAATATCAGTCTTGTGCGATAGACAGATGGCATTCCACTCTTAAATAGTGGTAGAGGAATGCGAGGCAGTATGGACATCTGCGTATGAGAAAGCTTGAGTGCAGCAACTAAGGTGTGTAGAGAGGGGGAAGCTGCGGCAGGACTGTTCCGCCACTCAGTAACTAGCATCACCCACACAACACTGTACACACTCAGCACTCAGCTTGTCTCTAACTGTCTCCTTCTCACACCAACATATATCAACACTACTGTGAATATATAAATAGAATAATTAGACATGAGTATACATAGTTAACATGGGCTTGATAGATTACGTTACATTACTAAATTTGACGTATCAAGTAACAAAAGGTATTTGGGAATAAAATTACATTTATTTAAACATAACAATGATAATTAAGGACGTGACAGAGTGTCAGCAATTACATTACAATGACCACTGATATGTTGTACACTAGTAGAGTATGACTGGATTCTGAGAGCCCACCCCATGATCCTAGCATTTTTACTCTACATTGTGTTTATGTAGGTGAGTGGATTGTGGTCTGAAAATTTTTTAATTTTAATTGGGGACGTCTTGTTAGGAGAATGTTCAACAGACAAGAGCTAGTGCAGGCCAGGTAGGCTCTGTCCAGGAAAGATGTGGTCACCCCACCCTGATCACGTGACTCTCCATACACTTCTGCTACCTAGCAACACAGAAGCTGGCAGCAAAACAAGTGAAGTAAAAACTACAGTAGTTAGACAATGCTGTGAGGTACTTAACACTTGAACTATGAGCACTGAATAATATATAAATCTTACATCCTACCTAATAATATAGCTAAGTCAAATAATAATATAAAGCAACATATTTGCGATTTAGCTAATATCGCAAATATAAGCAATATAAAATTATATGAACAGGTAATATACATTATATACATTGTGACCCATTTAGGGGTCGCAATATATGGTCTACATGATCTTTACTGCTCCAAAGTAAAGGGTGGGCATGCAAGGCACAGTGAAGTCAATGACGTTATAAAGAGAAGCCTTGCTACAACTAGATGCGCTGACGAGAGAGAGGCTCGATCACTTGCAACCAACAATACTCACAACCCAGCAAACCACCCCAATGGGATCACCATCTATCCTTGGAAGAATGGCAAGTTCTTAGCATAGGACTATATGTGCATGTTGAAGTTCGCTGACACTACAGCCATCACAGTGTCGGGCAACAAGGAGGAGCTGCTGATCACAAGGAGGAGTATAAGACCACCAAGTACAGAGACATAGGCCAACAATACGAATTTGTCCTAGTGGGATAAGAGGCCTTGGGATCATGGGAAAAAAAACGCTACATGTTTCCTTAAAGAACTGAGTTCCAAACTTATCGACACCACCAGAGACCTGAGGGCAGCCACTTTCACGTTACATGCGTCACAGCGTTGCCATCCAGAGAGGAAATGCTTCTGTGTACTGGGTTCGCATCAGTCATGGGAGGAGCTGGAGGAGATTCATAGTCATTGATATATCGTACCAACGTATTCATGTTTTTTTTTTTTTTGTCGATGCATTCTGTCTATTAATAAATGTTCCCATGGAATATAAAATATAATGGATGGTAGGAGAAGAAAATTACATATATATATATATATATATATATATATATATATATATATATATATATATATATATATATATATATATATATATATATATATATATATATGCAAGTAATTCGCAAGAGCAGGCGAAATATACACAAACACTGATCTCTGGCCGAAGGAAATTCGAACCTACGAACCTTGGGACAAGGTACGCATAGTGCTTTACCATCCTCACCACACTGGACCAATACCTTGGCGTCCAGCTAATATAAACACTGATTATTACCCACCTCTTTCATACTTACTAATACACCCTGGCTATTACCAACTTCTCTCATCCACCATTTGCTATATTCCTCAATGAAGTTTAATACTGCACCTTTCGATTTCACTCTCAATTAACTATACTTACATCTCTTTTCGATAATCATATTCTCTGCGTACTGTTCTTTTAGTGACTGGTGCAACATGCTGATAATCATGTACAAAGGCTGGAAATACGGAGTGAACCTTCATTTTTGATCAGGCGTTAACTTCATAACGTAAATTTTGCACTTCACGAAATATTTTGTAAGATTAAGTCTTTCTCTGCATTTCATTTTTTTATTCATATTATTTTGATATTTATTCACTACTTATTAGGTTACCAAATTTTCTTTCATTCAAAATACCTCAAACATGCAGGTATTTCGTCATTTTCTGTATTCCAGTCAGTCATAATGTACACTTATAATTAAGAATTCGATCATCACAATTTCAAAAATGTTTTGCCATTAATTAACAAATTTTATATAAATATATTCAATATCAGCTATATTAAACTTAATAAATTTATCATTATTTTTTCAGCTTGCACTGAAAGGCCAACTATTGCCAACGCTCAAGTACGTTGCTTAGTCAGGTAAGTAACTCAAACAACCACACTGAAGTAAGTCCATACTAAACTATGCTGACCAGCTTATAAGCAAGTACCGTAAAAAAATAAGACAGAGAGTTGGTAGCTTCATTTAAACTTTGTGTACAATTTTTTTAAAAATAGTCTTGAAAGTAGATATGAAAGTACATCATGAAGAGTTAACATGTTTCAAAACCACGTAGCCAACCAGTATGACCTCATGACTAAACGTAACACCAGACAGTCACATGAGGGATGGCAAGTTCTGGGTTGGCACGACGAGTGGACTTGCGATACCTCATACGACTGTCTGGCGTATGTTACGACTTATAAATTATACACTGTTACTTAATTCTGACCGGAAGAGAAACTACTTTGTTTAATAAAATTTATATGTTACTTTCACAACTTAAAACCAAAAGAAAACTTATTTTGAGCAAAACAAATCATACCTTAACCCTCATATTCAGCTAGAATGTGTATTTTTTAAGTAATATATATATATTTTATTTTATTATCACACTGGCCGATTCCCACCAAGGCAGGGTGGCCCGAAAAAGAAAAACTTTCACCATCATTCACTCCATCACTGTCTTGCCAGAAGGGTGCTTTACACTACAGTTTTTAAACTGCAACATTAACACCCCTCCTTCAGAGTGCAGGCACTGTACTTCCCATCTCCAGGACTCAAGTCCGGCCTGCCGGTTTCCCTGAATCCCTTCATAAATGTTACTTTGCTCACACTCCAACAGCACGTCAAGTATTAAAAACCATTTGTCTCCATTCACTCCTATCAAACACGCTCACGCATGCCTGCTGGAAGTCCAAGCCCCTCGCACACAAAACCTCCTTTACCCCCTCCCTCCAACCTTTCCTAGGCCGACCCCTACCCCGCCTTCCTTCCACTACAGACTGATACACTCTTGAAGTCATTCTGTTTCGCTCCATTCTCTCTACATGTCCGAACCACCTCAACAACCCTTCCTCAGCCCTCTGGACAACAGTTTTGGTAATCCCGCACCTCCTCCTAACTTCCAAACTACGAATTCTCTGCATTATATTCACACCACACATTGCCCTCAGACATGACATCTCCACTGCCTCCAGCCTTCTCCTCGCTGCAACATTCATCACCCACGCTTCACACCCATATAAGAGCGTTGGTAAAACTATACTCTCATACATTCCCCTCTTTGCCTCCAAGGACAAAGTTCTTTGTCTCCACAGACTCCTAAGTGCACCACTCACTCTTTTTCCCTCATCAATTCTATGATTCACCTCATCTTTCATAGACCCATCCGCTGACACGTCCACTCCCAAATATCTGAATACGTTCACCTCCTATATACTCTCTCCCTCCAATCTGATATCCAATCTTTCATCACCTAATCTTTTTGGTATCCTCATAACCTTACTCTTTCCTGAATTCACCTTTAATTTTCTTCTTTTGCACACCCTACCAAATTCATCCACCAATCTCTGCAACTTCTCTTCAGAATCTCCCAGGAGCACAGTGTCATCAGCAAAGAGCAGCTGTGACAACTCCCACTTTGTGTGTGATTCTTTATCTTTTAACTCCACGCCTCTTGCCAAGACCCTCGCATTTACTTCTCTTACAACCCCATCTATAAATATATTAAACAACCACGGTGACATCACACATCCTTGTCTAAGACCTACTTTCACTGGGAAAAAATTTCCCTCTTTCCTACATACTCTAACTTGAGCCTCACTATCCTCGTAAAAACTCTTCACTGCTTTCAGTAACCTACCTCCTACACCATACACTTGCAACATCTGCCACATTGCCCCCCTATCCACCCTGTCATACGCCTTTTCCAAATCCATAAATGCCACAAAGACCTCTTTAGCCTTATCTAAATACTGTTCACTTATATGTTTCACTGTAAACACCTGGTCCACACACCCTCTACCTTTCCTAAAGCCTCCTTGTTCATCTGCTATCCTTTTCTCCGTCTTACTCTTAATTCTTTCAATTATAACTCTACCATACACTTTACCAGGTATACTCAACAGACTTATCCCCCTACAATTTTTGCACTCTCTTTTATCCCCTTTGCCTTTATACAAAGGAACTATGCATGCTCTCTGCCAATCCCTAGGTACCTTACCCTCTTCTATACTTTTATTAAATAATTGCACCAACCACTCCAAAACTATATCCCCACCTGCTTTTAACATTTCTATCTTTATCCCATCAATCCCGGCTGCCTTACCCCCTTTCATTTTACCTACTGCCTCACGAACTTCCCCCACACTCACAACTGGCTCTTCCTCACTCCTACAAGATGTTATTCCTCCTTGCCCTATACACGAAATCACAGCTTCCCTATCTTCATTAACATTTAACAATTCCTCAAAATATTCCCTCCATCTTCCCAATACCTCTAACTCTCCATTTAATAACTCTCCTCTCCTATTTTTTAACTGACAAATCCATTTGTTCTCTAGGCTTTCTTGACTTGTTAATCTCACTCCAAAACTTTTTCTTATTTTCAACAAAATTTGTTGATAACATCTCACCCACTCTCTCATTTGCTCTCTTTTTACATTGCTTCACCACTCTCTTAACCTCTCTCTTTTTCTCCATATACTCTTCCCTCCTTGCATCACTTCTACTTTGTAAAAACTTCTCATATGCTAACTTTTTCTCCCTTACTACTCTCTTTACATCATCATTCCACCAATCGCTCCTCTTCCCTCCTGCACCCACTTTCCTGTAACCACAAACTTCTGCTGAACACTCTAACACTATATTTTTAAACCTACCCCATACCTCTTCGACCCCATTACCTATGCTCTCATTAGCCCATCTATCCTCCAATAGCTGTTTATATCTTACCCTAACTGCCTCCTCTTTTAGTTTATAAACCTTCACCTCTCTCTTCCCTGATGCTTCTATTCTCCTTGTATCCCATCTACCTTTTACTCTCAGTGTAGCTACAACTAGAAAGTGATCTGATATATCTGTGGCCCCTCTATAAACATGTACATCCTGAAGTCTACTCAACAGTCTTTTATCTACCAATACATAATCCAACAAACTACTGTCATTTCGCCCTACATCATATCTTGTATACTTATTTATCCTCTTTTTCTTAAAATATGTATTACCTATAACTAAACCCCTTTCCATACAAAGTTCAATCAAAGGGCTCCCATTATCATTTACACCTGGCACCCCAAACTTACCTACCACACCCTCTCTAAAAGTTTCTCCTACTTTAGCATTCAGGTCCCCTACCACAATTACTCTCTCGCTTGGTTCAAAGGCTCCAATACATTCACTTAACATCTCCCAAAATCTCTCTCTTTCCTCTGCATTCCTCTCTTCTCCAGGTGCATACACGCTTATTATGACCCACTTCTCACATCCAACCTTTACTTTAATCCACATAATTCTTGAATTTACACATTCATATTCTCTTTTCTCCTTCCATAACTGATCATTTAACATTACTGCTACCCCTTCCTTTGCTCTAACTCTCTCAGATACTCCAGATTTAATCCCATTTATTTCCCCCCACTGAAACTCTGCTTCCCCCTTCAGCTTTGTTTCGCTTAGGGCCAGGACATCCAACTTCTTTTCATTCATAACATCAGCAATCATCTGTTTCTTGTCATCCGCACTACATCCACGCACATTTAAGCATCCCAGTTTTATAAAGTTTTTCTTCTTCTCTTTTTCAGTAAATGTCTACAGGAGAAGGGGTTACTAGCCCATTGCTCCTGGCATTTTAGTCGCCTCATACGACACGCATGGCTTACGGAGGAAAGATTCTTTTCCACTTCCCCATGGACAATAGAAGAAATAAAGAAGAACAAGAGCTATTTAGAAAACGGAGAAAAACCTTGATGTATGTATATATATATGCATGTGCGTGTCTGTGAAGTGTGACCAAAGTGTAAGTAGGAGTAGCAAGATATCCCTGTCATCTAGCGTGTTTATGAGACAGAAAAAGAAACCAGCAATCCTACCATCATGCAAAACAGTTACAGGTTTTTGTTTCACAGTCATCTGGCAGGACGGTAGTACTTCCCTGGGTGGTTGCTGTCTACCAACCTACTACATATAAATATATATATATATATATATATATATATATATATATATATATATATATATATATATATATATATATATATATATATATATATATTTATTTATTTATTTATTTACTTCAAGTACATGTACAATGTATACTGGCCTAGGTAACATCAATGACATACTACTATATAGAAAGCCGCTTGTTAGGCAGAGCATTTCGGGCAAATTAGGTCAGTTTTGTCCCAGGATGCAATCCACACCAGTCGAATAACACCAAAGTACCCAGGTACCCATTTTACTTATGTGTGAGCATAGACAATCAGTGTAAGGAAACATGTCCAATGTTTCTACCCCTTCATCTGGAATCGAACCCGGACTCTTCACCGTGTGAAGCGAGAACTTTTGCCACCAGGCCACGGGGTACCTACATAGCCTATCCTCACGAAGCATTTCTTCTGTTTCATGTGAACCATCATCTTTTAAAAATTGGTTCCGTTTAAATTTGTTTTATTTTAATTAGACGGAAGAGCTAAACTTATAGGGGTCATATAGTACCTGTGGAATGAGAAGCATTCTGATTTGATCCATTAACATGGACCAAGAGATCCTCTCCAGCGTTAAGGGATTCCCATTTTAGGAAACAAAATCCAGTCATATAATCCAAAATTCTACATTACTATACGAAATTAAAAGTGGCCAAATTGCACCTACACATTTTATTAGCAATAACATTCTGAGAAAGATATACTTGTGATGAAATTTTAAAGATAATGAAAATAGGCTTCCTTAAGTCATATCACAAAACAAAATTTAGGAATCTTCATTATAAAATTGTTTAAGGGTCATCTGCACTTTTTAATTAATTATTCTGGGAACTTCTACGATGTAAAAGTTGACCAGAGTTGAAAACCAGAAGTCGATAGGACAAGGCATTCTG